TATTCAGGTGTAGGATTCACAGCTAGGACTGTTGATTGGTTTTGTTATTTACGTCTAAACATTGGGGCCTTATGAGTTGAAAGTTCCAAAAAAATTGCTGAGATGTTTTTCAAAGGATACAAGCAAACAAGTGTTTGTATATTTACAATAGAACACAAGTAATTAATTTTTACAGTAAGTTCACAGTATTTCATGCTAAGTGCTCAGGCGCATGTAGTCCACTGGAGTGGACAAGTTTATAACTTTATAAAAAAACATATTTTTGGAAAAAAAAGAGTTGAACATTTTTTTTCATGTCCTGAGAAGAATAAAAGCACTTAAGAAAAAAATCTTGACCAAGGCTTTCATAATTCATGCATCAGAGGGTTAAATGAATTTATTAATCACATGATGTTCCTGTTAAATGTATAAAAAGAAGAAAAAAATCCTGTAGTCCAGAAAGGAGTGAAATAATTAATAATGACAATAATGAACCGGTTTGGAAAATGTAAGGAGTAGAAAGTTGAGATCTTTGTGTGAAATTGGAGGAATAAAAAGTAGCAAAGTGTCAGAAAAGTGCTCAAGTAGAGAAAGGAAACTTTTGCTTTTGATAAAGACCACAGTGTGGAGGACGTTCTGTGAACCTTCGTTTCGGGTTATCACCGTCCTCTGTCTTCGGTGGCGGCCCCTCCTTTTCCTCCCACCGTCCTCTGCAGCTGTTTCAGCTGTTGCTGCTCCCGTCACGTTTCATTGTGTTAACCGGTGTTAAAGACGTACAAAGCTCACTATTACTCATTCATACATAAACAACATGCAGTGTAACTGAATCTGTTAAAAGTCCTTTACAGCAGTAGATCACCCAGTTTCTCACCTTGCTTATCTGCGTTTATTTTTTTGCAGTAGAGACTGCCACGTCTGCCTGGGAAAAGCAGCCTGCTAATCGTCACCACTTCAGCTCCTCCCCCGGACCCTGCTGCTGACAGCGCAGTGGGAATCACACTCCTAACTACACATAGAGCGATTGCCATTTTTCCCGAATCACTGTCCATACCACCACCTTTAACTGTAAATAATATCTCACATAATAACCTCTATCAGCAGTCATAATTAAGGAAAATGCTTTAAAAGATCAAATGCAATAAATTTAATTAAATATTGGTTAAAACATCTCTGTTTAGTGAATGTTTACACATGCCCTATCAGTGTAAACATTTCAGGCCTTTAGACAGCTATTAGCTACAGTGTAGCAATATCCAAGTCTAAACTAACTTATGTCACTATATAATTGTGGAATGATATAAATCAATAAACAGTTAAAGAATGTCCACTGAAGTTTCTTCTGCACTTTAGATAAGTGTAAAAAAAAACTTTTTTTCTCTAACAAATGTTGAGTACAACAGTCTGTGTTTTAGATCCTCTGTGAGCGACCTGAGTTTGGAGAAACAGTGGCACAAAGATGGTGCTCAGAACAAAAATGACACTTACCCACAGTCACCCTGTGATGAACTAACAAACAAGCTTTGTAAAGTGTGAAAACTGAGAAACAAGTGCTGCAGTTTTTTCATAAAATGCACTGCTAATCTTACTATGTTTGGTGTGGTGATGCCAGGGTCTGTCATGTGCTGTGTGATAGTGATAAACAAAACGCGAACTTTGTATTTAGGCTGAAAGACAAAATAACAAGGCATAACGTAAAGTACCAAAGGAAAATAAACACATAACTACAGAACACACACACAAACGCAGCATGCCTGGGTGATAAGGGAAGTGCAGACAGGGGAAGCAAAACTAAACATAATGCACACAAGATAATATACTATCAAAATATAAAATGGAAGTAATTAATACAAAAACCAGGATGTCTTAGTCGTGCAAGCTTGACACAGACAAAGTGTAAACAGACATAAAAGACTGACTCAACATGGGAGACACTAAAAGCCAAAATACAGAGATAAGACTGAGAGGACAGGAAGGAAACGTTAACAGGAACTAAAAAACCAAAAGGGAGAACAACACAGAAATTATTTTATTAATCAACACATTACACACA